ATGATTCGCAACCGGTGACATTATCTTCACAGTACCTCCCTACTCAGCTGAGAAATTTAAAATTTTTGAATCGATTTGAATCTAAGTTTTCTGAAATTTTAAAAGAAATAATAAAAATTGTCAGAGTTCTAAAACTACTAGGACTTGAGCAGTCATTTTTAGAGGCAAGATTTACAATCCTAAGATTATTCATTCAGCACTCTACTACATGATTGAAGATTTCAATTTCTGTGAATGTTTTTAAATTTAATTTTTCTGAAAACTTTTGAACAAAGCACAAAAATTGTCGTATTTTGTAAACTACAAGGTATCATAATTGGAGGCGCAACTCCTGGGGGAATCCTGACAGCATCCCATTATTGTTTTGATAATTTCAAAGTTGGTGAAGTAAACAATGCATTCAAACAGGAAAATTGAAAAAAAATTTTAACCATTGCATAACGCGATACAGCTTAAACGTGAAAAAAAGTCTTTCGTTAAGCATCCAAAAAAAGTAGTTTGAAATAGCTTAAATATGGCGAAACAGTGAAGACCGCATTTAAATATATAAACAATTTTTCACTTGATATTGCCAAATTTAAATCTTATTCAGAAAAATTTGTGGGTTAATTCTAAAATGGCACATTTTATACCCAAAGCTATGTTGGTTAATAATTATAAAGCAAAAGTAAAACCAATTGGTCAGTATTGTCTGCCTTTTTGTGGTTGTCCGTCTTTCATAAATCCTGTGTTGTTTTCGTTCTGACTATTTGAAAAATGGCGTGGAACTTCGTTTTCGGGAGTAATTTTTTTTTCCATGCAAAATCAGGTACCACAAATAATCATCGGACTGGGTTGAGTGATATATCATATTAAAGCCCTGTGGTTTCAGTCGTGGTTCAAACCACATTTAAAAATTTCCAAAGAGTCTTAATTTGAGCGAATAAAGCAAGCGAGCAGGCTTACATAAGCTGAATTTTTCCTAACTTAAGACCTTAAAACTTAATTTTAAGCAAATAAAGCTAGTTTTTGTTTTTTTTATTTAGCTGTATTTTGAGAGCCAAAAACTTCAAATATTCCAAAATTTTTCTGCGAAAAGTTTTGAAAATTTTTAAAAACTTTCATAGTTTTTCTTGTCATTTTTCTACTAAAATTTTTGTCCAATTTGCCTATATTACTACGACTGTCTAATCTGACCAAATTTTTTTTAAGTCAGATCTTTTTATCACACTAAGCAGAAAAAACAAGACTATTTGGAAAAAATTTTCTAAACCGTAATTTTTTAAAAACCATTGTCGGAACATTCTGTGTTACTTGCACAGTAACCGGCTATCCTTGTTGTTTTTTGCTTATGCATATAAAATTCTTCAAAGTGGAATGTTTCATGTGTAATTTTGGTCTGAAATGAACTTCTGCATGATAAAATTTTTTCTATCCGTGAACTATCTTCAATAAGTCATCGTTTTTGTTTCAAAATGTTTCGAAAACAAGTTTTTTTATTGAATTCCGACCCAAATATTTTGGCCAAAATGGCCAAAATATTTGACGGAATGGCAACCCGAAATGGCAAACCAAATTGGCCAAAATGGCAACCCGAGGATCTTCATTTTTAGTTTTTAAAAAACTTTTGTGCTCTAAGAAAAATAAATCTATTTCAATACAGAACCGTGTGAGTCAAAGTTTTCTAACATTTCAAGTGAGAATAAAAAACTGCCAGAAAAAAAACTAGAGAAAATACGCAACCATCAAAATTTTGTTTGGTATTAAATTGTTAGTACAAAACATTTTAGGAAGCTTAGAACCCACTTACTTCAAGTTCGGCAGTTAGTTAGAATCCTTAAACAATTAACAAAGTGTGGTGACAAAACAATTTAGATAAATTGCGAATCTGTGCCTAAAAGTTGGTTTCGCAAGAAACAAGACTGCCTTTTAAGGTCTATGGAGCAGTAATAACATGAAAAATTTAGATAAAATAAAAAAGATTTTTTTTATTTGAGATTTGTGAAAATTATCCCCCACTTGCCATATAAAATACAAAGTGATAGATGTGGTTCCTGGTAATAAATCAATTAAGGCAAATAAGCTTCATTCAACTAATTTGGAACGGTTTCTAGGACGGATTAAATCTCCGCTTACACGTTATTAGCGCGAAATATATCGCGCGCTAACTGTCTCAAATTGGCCAAAATGGCGATTTTAGTTTAAGCTCAGCACGGCAATTTTTAAATGATATCGTAAAAAGTCGAAATTTTTCTGAAGAATAAAACCACCCGAGCTTAAATGTTTCGTTACTTTCGTTTCGAAAGTCGGAACAATAATAGCGTTAAAAAGTTAAATTTCAATGTTTTTTTTTCAGGCGATTGAAGTTGTAATATATTTTAATTAATTGTAATTTATTGAGGCTGTAAATTTAATATTCAAATGAGGTATCAGGGTTAGCGTCGTGAGGGCGAGTGCCCGTGGCTGGTATTAGACAGAATTTATTGCTTCAATCGAGTTGAATATTTTAATAGATAAAATTTGTTATAGGCATGTTATTTTCATTTGCTATGAGGCATGTTTTAATTATTGTTATACCTTACGGTAAACCCATTTCGGTTATCTTATCACAGCCTGAAGCTGTTGCGGTTCCTTCATTTTCTAGTTATTAATCGTGTTTATTAACCAGTAAAAGATAGAACTTATGGAGCAGGCTTGTCCTACCCGTACCGAACTTTTTGGCCATAATCATATCTGATCATTGTAAAATCATGCAAAATTCATGTCTGTAACAGATGTGTAGCATGTCTATATTCGGCATGCACATACCTGCATCAGACCTGCATCAGGTGTGCTAACTGAAGATATGCTCACACCTGCAGCATGCATGATCATGCATGAACTGAACATGCTCACACCTGCATGATACATGATCATACCTGAACTAAACATGCTCACACCTGCAGGATACATGATCATACCTGAACTAAACATGCTCACATCTGCAAGATACATGGCCATGCCTGAACCGAATATGCTCAAATCGGTATCTTCAATATTATAAGATAATTAAAGAAATGGTTAAATTGTAACAACATCATAAACTCAGCTTGATAATGTGACACTTTACTTCAAATTTTTAGTTTTTTTTTTCAAATTTTTTCTGACATCGGTGAAGTTTTTTGTTGAAAATTTACTGTAGTCGTTAGATGCATCTTTCTTTAATTGCCAGCAGGGAGTCGTTAGTAGCGGGGCGTGTGGATACTTTTCTCTGTTTCCTGTCAACATAAAACTAATTGTTAGTCAAAACATCATCACTTTAAATAAATGCTTAACAAATAAAGTTAGACAAAAATCATGCGTTAAAAAGTAGTCGCATATATGTTTTTAGTTTATTCAATGAGATTAATAGTATCAACCAATCAAATCTTTTTAATTTATTCGCAATTATTGTGGCTACTGGTTTGCGAAAATTTAAAGATTTTTATGTTCCAATCAAATTTTGCAAAAATCATGCGTTAAAAAGTAGTCGCACATTTGTTGTTAATTTATTCAATGAGATCATCAGTATCAACCAATCAAATCTTTTTAATTTATTCGCAATTATTGCGGCTACTGGTTCGCGAAAATTGAAGGCTTATTGGCCAAAAAATTTTGTGACGAATTGCTTCAATTCAATGCTTTATAGTTCAAACCGGGGATTCTTAGTTTTTTCGACTATCCCTCCCGTTGATCCCCTGAAACTAACCTGACGTCCTCTTTTTTGGGATGTAGATGCGACATAATTTTCTTCATTTGAAGATATTTGACTCGAGGAGGTAAATTTGGATAAGCTCATTTCAAAAAAAATCTGAAAAAGTGAATTTTTAACAACAAAGACCAATTAGTCAAGATACGATGTGAATTTGTCAAGTTTTCAGTCAGTCGTTATCATGTCTGCGACAGGTATGAACATGTTTCACTCAGGTCTGATCATGTAAGATCCAGGTACGACCACGTCTGTAGAAAAATACGCATGCTCACTTGTGAACAGCCCTGCATAATGGGGGAACAGTCCTGAGAATATTCTCTCCCCTGCTAAATGGATGTCCAGCCGTGAAATGGCACAAAAAGTTCAGTACGGGTAGAACTTTCAACCGCGCGGAAAACAGATGATCGATGACGTTGTTACGTTTTCAACTTTCCGCTCAAATCATAAATTTTTAACAAGACTGCTCGTATCAGGGCGAAGCCTTGAATGTTCCGACTGCCTTTTAAGGTTTATGGAGCAGCAGTAATAACATAAAAATATTAAATGAAATAATATAAAATGAAAATTTTTTTTTTCTAAAATTTGAAATTTTTTCTTGAAAATCATCCCCCCACACGTCATATAAAGTATAAAAAGATAGATTTCGTTCCTTGTAAAAAATCAATTATGGCAAATAAGCTTCGTTCAACCAATTTGGAACAATTTCTAAGACGGATTAACTCTGCGCTTACGCGTTAATAGCGCGAAATATATCGCGCGTTAATTGTCCCAAATTGGCCAAAGTGGCAATCTTTAAACCCTCATAACTTTACGAAAAATGATCACAGGTGAAATATCTTTTCAAATTTAAGCTCAGGACAACAATAGCTTTCGAATGATATAAAAAAATTCCGTCAAAAATGGCCAGTTAAAAAGTCGAAATTTGTCTGAAGAAAAAAAAAACCCACCCCGAGCACAAATATTCCGTTACTTTCGTATCGAAAGTCGGAACAATAAATACTATCTTGAAGTTTTCGATACGCTCAAAATAATCTACGTTCAATAGTCTGGCTGTTTTTCTGATATGGGGGAACTTGGACAATCGTATCAAATACTCATGCGACATCTGAGCTATATAAAGGTCAATAGAGTACATGAACGTTCTCGCCAACTGTGATTTGTTAACATAATTCATGGAGTAGATATCTTGACAGTCTGATTAAAAGCTAGATTACTGTGTAATGCACTCCGGCTAGGTTGTAATGTTGCCAAGAGACTTCAATCGCCTGTCTGTTTGCAGATTGATCAATTGGCTCGAATAACTTAATTGGATTATGTGATATCAAATTTAGTCAGTCAGTTTCGAGTGTTGATTAGAATCCAAGTTAATCGACCACAAACGTGAGGCTGTTTGATCAATTGCACGTTTGGAATAGAGGTCAACGTCAACAAGTTCACTAATTACAATAAAAATTGAATTATTAAAAATTACTATATTAACGCCAAATTTGAATCATGTTACTCCAATCAACTTCAAAAAAGTTGCGGGGTACTAGTCCCTTCGCAATTTATACGTTTCAGAGTTTGTTCTTTAAGTACATTTACGCGTCAACTTATGCATTTTTGGGACAATACCTCAATGTTGAAGGCCATCAATACCAAAGGTAGGTGTTGTTTAGCAGAAAAGTACTTTATGCTGCAAAGTAGCTACAAGGCTGGTTTAAATTATCCTGACAAAACGAATAAAACTTGACATTTAAAACACGTTTTTCTCAAAATGAATTGATTTTAGACAAAAATTGATGAAGACGAAACTTGCTGTGAGTTTTAGTGAAATTATAATTGTGCAATTTATTTGCGAAATTCAGAACCGAAATTTTACTCAAAACCGATCTTTTTCTGGTCTTTTTAGTCAATGCTGATATAACTATGCCAAAGGTAGTCTCTCATGTAACCGAACAAGGTTTAAGAAGTATCTAGTCTCTAAAAATTTGAGGAAAATACTTTAAAATTATTTTCAAATAAAAAGTTGGTACTTAAAATTGTGAAAATGACGCTTTAGGCTATCAAACGAAAAAAACTTATCTATACTAAATTTAGACGATTATACGTCTTAAACGCGATTCGGCTGCATAAGAGGCTCACTTTGGTATAGCTTTTATCAGCATTTGATCCGGTAGTTCCAGCAAAACTCTTAATTGAGTGGAACAAGAAAAAATTTTGTGCCCGAATTTTGCAAAATAAATTGTAACAAGACTGCTCGTATCAGGGCGAAGCCCTGAATGTTCCGACTGCCTTTTAACGTTTAAGGAGCAGTAATAACCTATAAAACAAAATGTAATAAAATAAATTGACATTTTTTTTTTAATTTCGAAATTTTTTAACGAAAATCATCCCCCACACGCCATATAAAGTACAAAAGGATAGATTTCGCTGCTTGTAACAAATCAATTATGGCAAATAAGCTTCTTTCAACCAATTTGGAACGATTTCTAAGACGGATTTTGTCTCCGCTTACGCGTTAATAGCGCGAAATATATCGCGTGTTAATTGTCCCAAATTGGCAATCTTTAAACCCCTATAACTTTACAAAAAATGATCACAGGTGAAATATTTTTTCAAATTTAAGCTCAGACAACAATACCTTTTGAATGATATAAAAAATTTCCGTTAAAAATGGCTAATTAAAAAGTCGAAATTTGTCTGAAGAAAAAAAAACCCACCCCGAGCACAAATATTCCGTTACTTTCGTATCGAAAGTCGGAACAATAATAATTTTGCAAAACTTCTCAGGAAGTTTCACCATCATCATTGTTGTGCTAGTGCTAAAAATCTGCTGAATTTGGAATAAAAACGCGTTTTAAATTTCAAGTCTTATTCGTTTGGTCCGTATGGTTCATATCAGCACTGAATTACAAAAGACTTTAAAAACTAACCACAATACTTTCCCGAAGATTTGCTTTTGTACTTCTGGTGCAGATCTAAGAATAATAAGAAGTTTGCAGGTATTGCGTACCATGAATTTGAATAATAATTATTGGGCCATAATCATCTCAAACTTTTTAACTTTTTTTTCAGTAAAAGTAATAAAATTTGTTCACGCTCAAATTTCTTTTCTCGCGGTTTGACTTTCGATTTCTTTTTAAGTTCAGCTCATTTCCTTTGTCAAATTAAAGCCAAACTCCACGATCGAACAGCACAGGTGTAAAAGTCACGAAAAACGTGATCGACTGCAATATCCAAACAATTTCTACTAATTATGTAGGATGATATATTCAAACGAGAAACAGTTCTTCAAATGAAATTGTCGGTCAATTTATTGTCTGCTTATCTATTTTTGGCTCATTTCTTACATATTGGAATCGTTTTTTTCTTGCTGCGCGAGTTTTTTTAATTTTCGTTTTTAGTGTTTCATTTACTTCTACAATTTGTAATTTTACCTTGACTTCGTGTTTTTTTTTCTTTCTTCGTTTTTTTTTGTTTTGCTAAAAACAGTTACTCTGCCCAAACTATTTCGGTTGTTTTTGATTGGCCTAATGACCTTCTTTTGGGTCGTTTCAAGATGGTTGTATGTTGAACAATTGTTTTTTTTTTCATTATGGAAAAAATTGATTGGAAAAAGGATAGTTTTTTTAAAAAACTTCTACTGATTTTTAAAACGAATATCAATTACAAGACCGTCTACTCCCCTGGGTGCCTGTATTTTTCCCTATAGTCTCTTTTTACTTGACTCCTCTGTCTAGAGCCTTCAAAAACTCTGAGGGAGAATTTTTGAAAAATACTTTCTCGAAAACTATCACCCTCAATTCTGAGTTTTCGATTTCAAAGAATAGAACGATTCTGAAAAACTCCCTGCGTGAGCGGCTACATCCAAATTTTTTTACACAGAAAGTCATGGCTCTCGTCAAGTTTTTGGTTTTTGATTTTTGTGAATTTTTTTGACTTTTTTTTTCGAAAAGGAACCTCTCAAATCTGATATTGTTGGTTCAATGGAATCTCGCCTTCCTTAGTAGCCACTCACAAATTTTTTTTGCAAAAATTATCGCCCTCGGAAAAACCACATTTTCGATTTTTTGATCGTTTTTTTTGTTATTCTCAAAAACTGCCCTGCCATATCTGAAATGTTGGGTTTAATTTTAAAAAAAACAGGTTGCGGGAAGCCCATTTGTTCGCTCGATTTTACCAAACTATTCAGACACAAAAAGTCATGGCCCTCGGTAAAATCAAAATTTTGATTTTTTGACTGTTTTCTTTTAAAAGTTTTTGTCTTTTCTCGAGTCTAGAATTTTTGACCGTTTAATAATGTTTTTTTTTAATTTTCCAAAAATTTACATAATCGAATCTGAGCTGAAGAGTTTAATTGAAAGAATCTGTTGCGATAAGGGTTGCTGCAGAAGCAGCGACTCCTTTTTTTCTTCTGAGAGAAATGTCATCTTTTTGAGAGAATTGATTATCTAAAAATGTTTCACTCTTCTTACTTTTTTTAGTAGAGAAACAAGTAAAGTATGGGGCAAAGTCCAATTTTTAAAATCAAATTTTTCGTACCGCAGCAGTAAAGAAATTTTATCTGCGAAAATTTTGGTTCACCTAGTTTTTTTTTTTCATTAAAAATTTTTTGACTTATTTTTTCTAATGTTTGTGTTGTAGCTCCACTTCGCCTCTGTGTAAAATAGGAGTTCCGTTATTTCAACCTAGTTCAAACTAATTCGTTGCGCTCACTTGCGTTTTGTAACATGCCTTTTGTTTAGCTTCATCAGAGGACCCTATGTTTACTTCTAGCTAGAAGTAAACATTAGGTCCTCTGATGAAGCTAAAAACAGGTATGCGACTAAGCGCAAATGAGCGCAAGGAAAAAAAATAGTTCGAACTAGGTTGAAAAACTCGAAGTCATATTATACCCAGAGGATAATGTGTGAACGCTGAAAAACGGCTAGGACAGTCAGAAAGACGAAAGTTTCATAAACCGGAAATTCGCGGCTGGACTTCTGCAGCCGGCTAAATCTTTAGTGTTTTAAAGTTTTTTTAAAATTAGTTTTCTGTTGTTTTGCTGTTTTTAAGCTTTTGTTCACCATTTTTGCATGCGTTTTCAAATTACAGCTTTGCTTCTGTGTAGATAAATATAGAGAGGAGCATTTTTACTTGGGAACTTGTCTTCACCAACCAATTTTTTCCTTCTGCTGTGCTTCTTACGGTAATAAGTTTTCGTAACATCCTTAATAAAAGTATATAATTACCACTGGTAATTATAGCATCTAACTAAGATTACAACGGAATAAAATTATTGTGTGAATTAAAACTGACTGTAGTCTAGAAAGAGCAACTAGTGACTTGAAGTCCACTGGACTTCGTAGAGTAGATGTTAACTGGTACTTGATTAAACAAAAAAGGCCAAGGTTAAGAGATACTAAAATACTAAATCAAAACATTCCCCACTACACAAAAATTTATATCTGCCCGCTCTCCAATGTAGCCAATATCACACATATACTCCATTCTCCCCTCACTCCACCAGGGCCAAAGTTGAAACAAAAAGTAACCGCAATTAGCACCAATGGAAATTAACCGAGAGTACAAATTACAATGGAGGTGATTATATGGTAATATATACAGGCTACCTACAAGATTACACAGATATCTACAGCGACTGTACAATTGACAAATAGTCCGATGGGGACGCCGATGGATAGGTTGTCTGTGTCTGTAGACTCTTTGAGCTGGAGAATATTATTAGGGGTTCGTCATCGGAATCTACTAATTCGCTGGTCTCTGTTCCTAGAGTCACTTGGTCGATGAAGCGCCTGTCTCCGTAAAATTTAGGGGGCCTGGATTCCTTCTTGACCGAGGTTTGATGCATACCGGAGTTTTGGGCGTCTCCGTCTTTTCCGGAGAGCTGTCTATTCTAATTGGGTCATCGCCTGTGCCCGTTGGGATAGTAATCGTCGTCTGTGTATTCGTTTGACTTGGTAAGGTACAACTTGACTGATCTAAATCACTATGCATATTAACAGTCGGTGTATTACATACAATTTCCGAGTGCGTACCCAAATAATCTTCAATAACTTTGTCCCAAAGGTCTAACTCTAGCGAGGAATCTAAATTACTAAACGCTGATTTTAAACCTTTCGTGCTCGGGGTGTTAGTTCTCCTCCTTTTAGTTGCCTTGTCTCCCGTTGGTTTATAACTCGTCGATGGGCCTCCTGTGCTTGAGTCTGGCCTCTTCAACGGGGAGTTTCTCTTTCGTTTTCCTGCTAAATCATGGTTATTAATTAGCGCTTTCGGTACTGCCGAAAAATTACTGGGGGCCGACGGTTGGATTTTATTAAAAGCTAAGTCAGATTTTCTGATCACGTGTCCGTTGTCTATGTAACCGTATGTTTCGTATCCGACAATGGTTTTCCCCCAAGTGGTTTAAAGTAGGATTCGCCTTCCCTTCGGTTAACTGTTCTCCTAAACTAGTTACCTCCTTGGCTGAAGGGGTTTGACAGTGGGGCTGGCTGAAGAACTCTGTCTACTTTGTCCGAAGGGGCGCTCTCATACCCCCTTTTGTCCGTCGCTATGTTTTCCAGATAGCCATCCTCGAAAGCGTCGTCTGCTCCCCAGTCTTGCGCTCTATCTTTTGATAGTATTGACTTTCCCTTATCTAAACTAATCGCGTGTGACACCA